TTTCTATTTCCCCCATTTTTTGCGTGGTTGAAGATAGGAGTTCTTAAAATCTACAAACATGAAAACTCACTATTAAGCTCTTTAATGCCGGTAGGAATTTAAAAAGATGAAACTTCTCTTTTCCCAAAAAGTAATGACAACTAGAATGGCAAGTACTATGAAAAATTCAGTCCTAGGCAATGGAAGTAAGTGTTATGGTTGATGTACCGGCAGCACCAAGTTTTTCCAAAAGCTTCTCTGTTGTTTTAAAGTTCTATGCACCTTTTAACATACACCCTCCAGTGACCACAATTTGTGCACTTACAAGATCAGGACGCCCTGTATGCTTTGATGTAAGCTTTACATATCTAGATTTACCAATAGAATCTGCAATTATGGTGAATGAACTAAGGTTAACACACCTTTGGAATTGTAAGTGCATTCAAAAAGTAAACAGACCTTCATCAAAGGTTGAGAGATTAACCTGAGAAGTAGGAGCTCCCTTAGGTTTAGCCACTGTAATTTATGTAGAATCTAATCTCTATCATCCAAATAGGGGGTATCTAATAGTTAAATCTTCAACTTTCATCTCAAATTCTATGCAGGAGATGTACATTTATGCAAAGCATGTGCTTATGGTAAACTTGCCAGCTAAAGCCCTTGAGAAAATTCAGAATGCATAAATTAAAATGGTAATACACACCTCTGTCTTTGCAATGCCAATATGCCTGTTGCCCTGTTGGAGTCAACCACAATAGCAGGAGAATGACAGAGAAGATGCATGATTACCGATATATATGGCCCCTTTATTAATGAAGCCAGTACCTTCAATCTTCACTGGATTCCCTAAGATCCACATCTACAATCCACAAATTAGATAAACAAATTACACATAAGTTAAGATTCACCTACTAAAAATATATATTGTTTAATTCTTCCAATTTACTATGTATTGTCCTTTAACTCCATACATAAAAACGCTCTATGTAAGCTTATGGGTTTTACTTCAAAATCATAAGTTCTCTTTAGGTGGCAAAACAGAAATTGAACAACTCCTATGAAGCTGATAAATTCTTCCAACAAACATTCCTCTATAACTAAAGCCCTCAAAGCTAAGATCATACATATCACCCAGGTTTCATCAAAGTCACCATTGTTCTTCACAATGTAACATTATCCAATGTTCCATTCCATTTCGCTTTCCAAATGTTACCACATGGACTGTCCAATCCAAACACCTTGCTCTATCTTAGCTATTTTAAGGATGACATAAATAAAAGTGAATGAACAAAAAATAGCACACTCTGAACTCAGGAAATCTACTTTAAATGGCATACAAAATTCCAAGCTGTGATC